ACAGAGACGTTGTGGGGTAAGGGGAGTTTTCTAGGGAATATCAAAGACAGACGGTGAACAGAGCTGTTGTAGCCAGCTCACAGCTGCCTGTTATTCCAGTACTAGAATCAAAGATAATTTATGAAAAGCTCAAGGAATATTTCTTCTGGCCTGGCATGAACGTGAGGTAAGGGACAACTGAAGAACTTGTAACGCTGGTCAAAAGCGAAAGATTAAGGTTAGCCTTTTTATTAGCTTTTTCTAAAGCAAAAATATTTCTGGATTTCAGTGAGGTTGTTCATACAAAGATTGCTTATAAGAGTAAAGATTACAGAGTTTGTAACAAAATCCAGATACTAGTGGCTAACTGTGGCAGAGAGAGTTTTTGGGACCGAAACATTTTCTAAAATTTGGCTTTCTTCAGTGTATCAAACTCCCAGTTAGGGCCAATCCTTCAGAAAGGCTCAGTCTCCAGTAGACATCTAATGTAAGAGACCTAGGGAGACACTTAACATCTAGTAACTCCCATTTTCCCTCTGAATAAGTGCTGAGTTTTTGAAAATCTGGGTGCTTAGTGGTACAAATGGGGGCTGCTGGATGGAGAATTATTAAAAAAAAAATTGGCTCTAGTAGCCTGATCACCTAATTTAGCTTTTTACAGTTTTGTTCAACACTATCCACAAACATTGCTAAAGCAAATGCAGTCAGAGTGAAGATGTTACATTTTACAGATTAGTTAAGAATAGATCTACTGAGTAGCTCATCTAATCGTTTATGTGAGACTTCAAAGCAGAATTTCACTACCTTAAGTGTCTTGCCTACATATAAAATCTGAGAAATAGAAGTATTCCTGCTTTATGTGACCAGATACCTCAGATATACCATATACATTTGAAATGTTTCTATTGCTGTTAGTTAGAATCCAGGAATAGGACTTTGCACGTTTCTGAAGTGCTTATTTTCAGTTTTATATGTATATATATGGCAGTCAGATACAGTGCAGGCATATGCAAGATAAATGAATAATTGTGCGTGCATGAGTCCTATGTCTGCACCTCATCATTCATGCCATAGGCCTGAAACCAGCTCCTTCTCCAGTGTACAGCCTTTGGAGGGCAAAACATTCTTCCCTGCAGTCGCTGCAAGTCAATGTTTGTCCTCCAATGTGTTTATTTTCAAAGGTTTGTCCTATAGTTGAGTTACTATTCTCTGTGCAATACTCTGGATATTCAGAATATGAAACAATGGCTAGACATTGTGCTGAATTATAAAGACAACCCAAGCTTGAATTTTGTTATAGACAGCAAAATAGTTTGCATTTGACTTTACTGTCCAAAAGTATGCCACTACATTATAAAATATATGGCAGTACATTATAAAATATAGTCAGTATCATTGGGGTAAACTCCTCTCTGAAATGAGCACGTCAAGCAGATGAAACCCCGGAGAATTAAAGACAACTGAGTATCTTGAAGTTTTCAGCTGGTAACTTGGGCAGTCAAATACCACGCTGACGGTGAGGAACTCCAAAAGGACCTCACAAAACTGAGTGAGCAGAAATGTGGCAGAGGAGCTTCGATGTAGATAAATGCACCTGGGGAAGATCTGAACCATGCCTACACAATGCTTTCCAGAGTTGTACCGACCAATTCAAACTTAAGCAGTTTTTAAGAGTTTGAAATCATCAGCTTGATGTGCAGCAGCAACCAAATAAGCCAGCGAAGCACTGGGTGTCACCAGGAAGGGTACTGAGAACAAGGGAGAACTATTTTGCCTCTCTATAAAACTTTGGCGCACCCACATCTTGAGCACGGTGCCGTTCTGGGCTCTGCGTGTCAAGGACAAAGCAGGATGAGACACGGCATGGAGGGCAACTACGATGATCGAGTGGGTAAAGTGGCAGCTTTAGAACAGCAGCATGAAAAAGCTGAAACGTCTCAATTTGGAGAGAAGGCTGAGGTGACAATACGATAAAAGCTAATAAATCATAAAGGTGGAGGGTAAGGCAAACAAAACTTAGTCGGCACATGCCACGCTGTTAGAACTAGAAATACTCTATAAAAGCTACTAGATCCATTCAAAACAGGTAAAAAAGCGGCCAGGTCCAGGTGCTCTTCCCCAGCAGCGCTCCTACGGCTGCTGTTAGAGGTGGCCAACCAGCAGGGCGTTTCCCACAACCCCTTACCTTCTCTTGCCTATTTGCATTTTAGGTAGACTGGAAAATAGGACAACAGGTGAACAGAAATAGAAGCCAGTCTCTCACAGCTGCATTACTCCATTCCATAGATTTAAAAAAGGCAAGAAAAATTATATCTTTTTTCTGGTTCCATATGGCAACAGAAGCACCACTGTTCAATCTTCAGGCAAGAAAATTAACGTATAGGAGCTGCCATTCCAGTTCTTACCAAACATTTGAAGGGAACTTCAAAGGAGAAGGCGGTCTGACAGGACAATGAAGCATCTGTGACTGTCCCAGTAATCACAGAATAAAACTGAAAGGCTCTTCTTGAAGCCTGTGCACAATAAAGGCAAACTGGTACTCTTACCAGGAATTACCGCTTAGTCCTTGGTATTTGATTGTTACAAATATGCATGTATGTCTTCAGATTTTGTTGAGATTAGAATGTATAAATTGCTTAAAAATGCGATTTGCATACATAAGAAAGGTGAGCATGCAGGACAACTTGAAAAAAAGAACAGAAGGAGAGGGAAGAAGTTCAAACACAATTCAGCATTTTCAGCATTCTGTAATTTTAATACCGATAGATGAAGAAATTGTGGTCATTGAATTACATTTTTAATTAAAATGTTAAAGGCACTCGGAGTTTTTGTATGCATGCTTGTCTCAGAAATCTAAATAAAGGGAACCTATTTGCATGTGCTTTAGGATGTACTGAATTACTTCACCTGTCAAAATAATTACCTGATATGTGGCACTCATTTGCATGAACTAATTTCTAAATAAAAAGTGGGTGCAAATGTGGAAGAACGAATTCATGTATTTGTTGATATACAACATGTATTGTTCTCAAGAATACCTTATTCCTAATATTTTTGAAGTCTCAAAACTATTTAGTAGGATTAAGGCATACTTTCTATTCCTTAATGACTGTCCATCCTTTAGGATATGCTTGTCTGCGTGTGTGTACATACTGGATGAGTCCTTTGCGGCCATCATCTTCAATGCATGGAATTTTCACCTCAGTTAAGGCAGAATTTGGAATAACGCTAGCATTAAAAATGGTTGATCAAAGACAAGGGCATTGTTATTTTGGTTCCTGAACACTGCAGAAAGGATCCTATACAGGCCACAGGTATAGCCAGACTACGTGTATGATTTTAAATTGAGTTGTAACACTATATGCTCCGCAAGTAACAACAGAGGTAACCCAATGGACAACTGTTTACATCAGCATTCATATTCCTATAGTTTATAAAACAACTTGGTATTTTAAAGCCAACTGTGACTAAAAACATTCAGTCTGAGCCTATGTGCATGAAATTTCAGCTCCCTGCTATCACAAATGAGGACAGTTTAAATAAGCTAAATAGACTAATCTGAGATTAAACTATTATATTTCAGGCAGATACAAGACGCGCAAAACTTTTGAATCATGTTATGCAAGGAGAATTCCATAAAGCGGCAACGTAAGTTGTATTTCCTAATGGGTATTTATCTCACAAAAGCAGCATACTTCTTTGCGTAAACAGATACTGAGCGGGACAGTGGCTGTGTAGAGTCTCACAAACCCGTGTGGAAGAAAATAAGTAGGAAAAGTTACTGGCCAGGTACACTTGCTGTGTCTTCCTTGAACTTACAAGGTACTGCTGTGGGCTTATGTACTGTGCTTGCTTGTACAGAAGTCTATCGCTGCCATTTCCAAGAAAATGAATGGCTCGGAATATTAAAATACCACAGCTTTCTTCTCCTGCCTCCCCGCCACCACTGCCATGCTGGAAGAAGCATAAAATTGTTCTCCTATCAAACTGCACAACCGAGAATTATCTCAGCTTTACTAGCTCTGAGTAAATACATTTTCCCTACGCTGCTGGATGCTGCTGCTTTAAAACTCTTGATGAATTTCTGCTTCAGGGTATCTGCATTTTCCTGCTGAATGGTAACTTTCCATTGTATGACTTGCATCCTAGCTTCAAATATGCTGGAGTCCATTTGGATGAAAAGCCCCAAATGAGTAATAGCTATTAAAACTTCCAGACCAAAACAAAAACAAAACCCACATCAAGGCAGAGTTAAGGTTGAAAAGGAATATCAGTTACTTACAGTATAAAGCATAATGGCATATTGTATAAAGCATGTTATAAATTATCCCAAAAGTAAACATTCCAAAAACCCCAGGAAACTCAGGATTAAGTATAAAAACTTAAAAGAAATCCAAACATCTTGAATTATTGAAATGCAGTATGAAAGCCTCCAAAACAAACTTAGATCAGCCCTGCAGCAGCACCATGTTGTAAGCCAGCAATTATGATTAATGCATTGTCGTATCTGTGGCCCTAAATTAGCCTAATGCATATTTTGGAGATAATAATTTTTCATTTTGTTCCTTTGCATGCAACAAGTGACTATGACAAGCAATAGAAGGTGAGCAGGAGAAAAATAATGGCATATAACCATATTATTAGTTTCACTGCGGAACTGGTCGTTACTTGACTACTTAGAAATATAAAATGTCCATCGTAAGTGTGAAGCTGCAAGCAAAATACGGTTGTATCGTGCATGCATGGTTCATCACCGTGAGAAGAAACTATTTCTGGCTGAACCAGTAACACTAAATCAGGAAAGGCTCTATTACATTTAATAACTTGTTAAAAGATAAGCAAATGGGATTTCAATTCTTAAAATTAAACACAGAAATGAAAATCTGAGAAACAAACTTCTTATACTGCACAGGTTACCTATCTAGTTTAACTGACTGGACAGAACTTTTCTATGGAACAAGAGGAAAAAGAGTAAGAGGAGATGAATGTTTGCCAAAAAATTCAAGCCCCAAAACACTCATTTTCAAAATTGTTTTATTGCAGTTGGATAATAGAGATAAATACCTAAGAGCAAAATCCAGTAAGTCACATTTATTTTTCTTTTGGAACAATTCTCCAAACCGGTTGTGTTTTATGATAAAGAACAAAAAGTTGCACTACATTTCAGAACATTTTGTTCTTTAAAACTGGTCAGACAGGTGGGAAATATTAAAGTACTACGAATTAAATGAATAATTTTCCACTCCAGCTTCATTTCCCAAATTGAACAAGTCCAAGCAAAAGAAACCATGACTTTTTCTGCTCTGGAGATGCATATCAGCTGGTGATGCACTTCAAGCTATATTAATTTGATTAAAAAGTTTATCCTTAATAACCTGAGACATCAATCCATGTATAGCTTCTATGGTGGTCTTGCAGCTGAAAAACAAGCATAAATTCAATGTTGGCCAAACACTGAACTGAACTGTCATTTTATTTGAAGATATTCAGCTGTTTTGGAAGATCAGGGTGCCCATAACCCCATGAATCTTAACAACTGTCCAGAAAGGAAAAGTCATACACGGCAATTTAGCCATTGTTGCCAATAACTTTTTGTTACTTAAAAAGCAAACTGACGAGCACTATACACACAAAGACCAATTCCAGAAAACTTCTTTGTCTGGCAATTTAGGGCATCTCACATTAACAATAGCAAGTGAGCTCTGTGGTCACCTGAACCAAATAATAATAATAAAAAAAAATACCTGGGGAAATGGAGCTATCAGCTGTTATCAATACCTGAATGTTCTCACTGTTCTCTATCTCCTTTGCCCAACCCCAGGCCAGTAGTGCAGAGTAACCATAGCTCCTCTGAGAAACTTTACAGATAACATTAAAGGAAGAGTTTATAGAGCTAATCAGTTATTAGTCAAAATATGTAACATGTGCAAAACCCCCAAACAGCCGAGAGGATTCCTACTGATCCAAGTTTCACCCAGTGTGCCTGGCTTAGGGGGACGTAGTGTCAAACTAACAAATAAAAAATGTCTCAGAACAGAATATACAAATGCAAAAGATGAATCAGCCCTGAAGGCGTGGAGAGTAGGGATAAATTACTACTAGACAGATAAAGGAATCCCAGGCAAAGGAAGCCAGCTTGGAGCACTGTTTAGCTAATGCATAGGTACTCTTAGAAAATGGCTCTTAGAGATGTGTATGTATAGTAACAGAAGATATCATATAGCCACCTGTAAGCACCTTTATCCTAATGTCTTACAGAATTGTCTTTCCTAAAACAGGTACACCCAATAATCCCTTAGCAAACTTGGCAACCTTATTTCGTGAAAGGAATTTAGGTGCCACTGAATCAATTGTCCTGTCTGCACAAGTCTTCCACTCTTTTCTCTTGTCTTAGGAAAGATTATTAGTTGAAGAAAAACATGCATCTGTAAAAGTGTTACAATCCATTTTGGGAACTACAGTAGCCTCTGTTACATAGGAAAGCAGAATTGACGACAACAACAATCCCTTCCAGTCTTACAATTTAGAAACTAACTACTGATGATGACTAAATAAAAAAAGAAAAATCTCTTGAAATGCTGCAAGAAATAATATAGTAGGATGATCAGAGAAGGTGTTATTTCTTAGAATAACTGTAAGCACATGAAAGTAACGTGAAGACAAAATGCAGTCAGTATTATGGGACACCAAACAGGGATCAAAATCAATGCAAACTTGTCAGCAATTCCATCCTTCTCATGTCTTTGAGGCATTGCTATTGTAACTGTTTCACTACAGGAACCGGGAGGTATCACCTAACCTGGCTGTCCTGAGTTAGCAGCAGCCTTAACTCCATTGCAAATCTATTCTGCAACTAAAACAGTCTAAATGGGTATTTACTTCTATAAAGTCAACCCCCTCCAACTCAATCGTGTTTGTTAGAAAACTTGTAAGAGCTGTTAACTTTCCGTAACAAGAAAACAAATGCACAACAGCAACTCTGATTCTATTTAGCAATGACCATATTCCATTTGCAGGTATTCCCCCACCGCGTACTGTGGAACAAAGGCTTGTCCAACACAAGCTGACTCCTCTCTTTATTAAGGCAAAGCCCATGTTCACCTGAGTTATACTGAGCAAGATGTAAAGGAATTTATTTATAAATCAGTCTCTTCACAGAAGGCCTCCTTTTTGTCTCTTGATTTTTTTACCTATCACTAACTCACCACTCACCTGGTATCTCAAAAATCAGTTTGTTAGTAAAGTTTTTACTACAGCACATATTGCTAACGCGGCGGGGCAGGGAAGAGACCACAAGACAACTGTTCTATGTATCAGGATAAAATGATGAGGCAGAGGACCAGAAAACCTCCAACTCTGAAAAGTAGACCATCCCAGATTTCATTCGATTTTTGCAGTCTGTTCCAAGGGATTCTACAGAATTGTTCTTTATTAAATGGAATTGTATCTCACTCAGAACACTCCTAAGATGCGTGCAGGTGAGTTCTGTCTTCTCCACAGCTGGACCTGAGATTGTACTAGCATGTACAGGGCAGTACTTCTTGGTTTTCCAAGTCTGGAATTTGCCAAATACAATGTTCTTGAACAGCCCAAGATACTGTATGGCTTGTTGGATATTATTACCCTTTGTTAAAGATTTTACTTGGAAAAATGGTGACTGTAACATTACATAGGTAGTCTAAGCACACATATCATTCTTACGACTATTGGGAGAGATGTGAGTATTAGTGAGAAGCAACTTTTGTACTTCAAAGCTCAAAAAAGAAAAGAGCTGATTACCAACAAACATATAAGGAACACTGAGGGAAAACACTACAACTTCTCTGAAATAATGCTGTATACCCAGTGATGATAAGTTCATTAACTGATAATAGCAAGTATTTGTTATCAGGCAGGGTAGCGAAACATAAAGGCTAAAATGCCTGTAATCTAATTCTTAAAAAGAAAACAAAATATGACATAAAACCTTCCTCATTTGTGGAGAAAGGATGTATTAATTAAGAAATATGAAAAAAAGGGGAGTTCTTGATTTTTAACTGGGTGAAAGTATGACCCAACTGTAAACTAAACTTACTGGACTGTTAGCACTAGTTCTTAAAATCATGTTGTAGGTAATAATTTTATTTACTGTTAGTTTAAACCTGATTAACCACATAAAATGTGCTATTTTCTAGTAATGCTACCATTTTGCATTTGACAGAAAACATCTTTTTTGGTTTCCTGTATACTGATGGAATTTAACAGGGCTTTTTTGTTAACTATAAACTAGAGTTGAATTTATTCCAGAAACAAAGATTGAAAAGCCATTGTAGGTTTAATAAAGGCAAGATTTTCTTAAACTCTCAAAAATAACTGGTGACATTTGGAGTCTCATTCCTATCTACAATCTAATCATTCTTATCTATAATCTTGGTAGGTTACAATTTAATTGGTAGGTTACAATTACAGGCATGATAAACGTTTAAAACAAAATAACACTTTTTACAGGGAAGAACACAAGTATGCGTTATCTTACCTGTCTCTTGTCGCTTTTGCAAGTTTGTCTTCTGATTTCTTATCATGAGTTTCTAAACCCAGCATGAAACTGCCCCTTCCAAGCTGAGCTTCTGACTGTTCTAATTTTTCAGACAAATCAAAGACTTGGCCAGTGGTGTAGTCAGCATTCTTAGGAGAAAGAAGGCATTAAACATATTGAATTCTAAGATATAAATTCAAGCATTTATACACAAAATAAACAAAATCTGAAAAGAGCCTTTAAGACTGAAGTACTGCACATTTTAACCTACGTCTGCAATTGAAGTGATAACAGAACATGAGTGGCACACAAGTGGTGGTTGAGAGAACAGAAGATGAACATCTGACAAATGCTCAATACCTAAAGCCTGAAATGGGCACTCTTTATTACTTTCGGCCCATGCCTTAAGTTACAAATGAGTAAGTAAAACTCAGTTGGTTTTGACCAAGAGAAAAGGTACAAAATTGGCTTTTGCAGAAGGAAGGTTTTGATGCTGAGATGTTATAGTGAAGGTCTACCTGCAGTTTTAACAGTTCCATTGGTTTTTTGTTTTTTTTTTTTGTTTTTTTTTATTTTAAGAAGTGTTTACTTATTCAATACCATTATTTTAAGGCACACTATTCATTACAGTGCTGTAAAGAGATATAAGGTTAAAAGGTCCTTAAGACAAAATCTAAGTGTATAGAGGACTCAGTAAAATTAAACCTAAGTTATTCCCACCTTCTACTTTTGAGGACCAGATATAAGGGACATTTCGGCACTCACGATTAGGAAAACCCTCCTTTCTTCTTTAATCTGGCAAATAGATTCTTCATGTGGGACCTATATCAGCGTCCCATTAAGCGTTTTACAGTAGAGGGTCTGGCTTTCAGCACTAATGAATTAATATATGCACGATAGCATACTATGGTACTTACAGTAAGCAAACTAGAAGAACTGAGAGTGTTCACCCAGTACTTGTTCCACAAAAGTTCAAGCAATTTACGATCCAAGGATGATTTAAAGTACGAGACTTCTAAAGCATAATACCTTTAAAAACAAACATGCAAACAAAATAAGCTTCCATCTAACTATATCTTGTTTGGCTGTGACAGCCAAAGTACATGCATCTCAAAAAATCCGTATCAATGACCAATATCTTCAAAAATTCAAAGCACTGAACAATAAAAAAGTTACTCCCGCTTCCAATTCTAACTCTGAAAGATGTTCTGTAACTATTTCATATATAGCTTTAATACAGATATACATAATCCCCACACATACTGCTGTGTTCTATTTAATGAGATTGCAAGGTTTTTTAAATTATTCTCGTAACAACTTCTTCTGCAATGCAATGATGCCCTGTTCCATGCTTGGGATCTTCAATACTGTAATACCTGTTCCTTACAGATTATGTCACCTCTGATTCAATTAGGAACGTTTGATAGCAGTAAATGTTACAAACAGGCAAACAATCTTATGTTCTAACACACCTATTTTGAAAGCCAGGCTTTAGTGGTGCTACAGAATTCACAAGAGATGATAAAGCAGATAGAAAGCTGAGCTCTGCAAAGTCATTAGTGTAAGTGAATTACAGCAACATTAAAGAGTTGTATTAAACTTTACTTTGATCAGGAAATGCTTGAGCAGGTTATCAATAATCCTATTATCTCGTGATTTCTCTGGAAAGTTATTTTGCTTGGCGTTTCTGTAAGAAATTCCATCCAAGATAACAATGCTTTAAAATCTACCCACACACCACACTTTAGTATTTCTATGATAGAACAAATACCCTTATTTCACATATGCTAAGAAAAATGAGGTACTAAGTCAGTTCTTCAAAGAGATGCGTGGCAGATTCAAAATCAGAAATGCAAGTTGTTTGAGGAATAGTGTAATAAACTTACTAAAAAAGATTAAATGGAAGCAGTTTCATATTGGGCATTTGAATACCAATTAAAGGACAGAAGTTTGACTAAGATTATCCAGGCTGCTACGATGAAGCAATTAGTAGTCACTGGCATTAAGGGTCTCGAGAACAAGTCTTATGAGGAGCGGCTGACGGAGCTGGGGTTGTTTAGCCTGGAGAAAAGGAGGCTGAAGGGAGACCTTATTGCTCTCTACAACTACCTGAAAGGAGGTTGTAGCGAGGTGGGGGTCAGTCTCTTCTCCCAAGTAACAAGTGATAGGACGAGAGGAAATGGCCTCAAGTTGTGCCAGGGGAGGTTTAGATTGGATATTAGGAAAAATTTCTTCAGCAAAAGGCTTGTCAAGCACTGGAACAGGCTGCCCAGGGAAGTGGTTGAGTCACTGTTCCTGGAGGTATTTAAAAGATGCGTAGAAATGGCACTTAGGGACATGGTTTAGCGGTGGACTTTGTAGTGTTAGGTTAATGGTAGGTCTCAATGAACTTAAAGGCCTTTTCCAACCTGAATGATTCTGAGGTTCTATGATCATCATTCAAGTTCTCTAAACTTTTAATTCTTACTCAGACTACACATACTACTGAGAGGACACCAGCGCTCCCCTTGTATTATCAGTATTTCGGTAACAAGACAGATTACCAGTTTTAATTCCCCCTATTTGCCTAACTGCTGTTTCCTTCTAGGAGAGACTGGAAAATATTTTCTTGTTAGGATGGAAAGAAATGACTTGTACAAGAAGACAGCTTCCCAAGATGGAGATTAGAACGGTGACTATCAAGCACTTCCAATTTAAAAAAAACCACCAAATGAACTCTCTCAAATTGACCACCTCTAAAATCAAAAAGATAAAACATATCCTCCTTTCACGCTTAAAAGCATGGGTTTATGGCCAACGTCAGACATACAAGGACTACTCTGAAATGAAAGGAACATTACAGTTTACAAAGATTTCTGTGTAGCTACTGTTTGGATTTTTCCTCAAACTGGATAGGAAGACAAATTCCAATTGTTTTAATTTCTTCATCTCTTCAGGGTCAGACTTTGCACGCAATGATAAATGCACTGAATAGCAGATACCCATGCACCAAAAACGTGAAAAAACTATGCAACAGCCTACAGGACACACTGGTGCCAATGAGATCTTCAAGTTGCCAACACTTAAGCTGTAGTGCTTGTCAAACATCTGAAGGTAGAACTGAAACCAAGATGTTATTGAAAGAAGCGGTCCCATCTTTCCTTAGCTGTTCTTTGCAAACACTGCGTCTCCAACATCTGTCTCTACTTTCCACTCTACCCTAGCTTAACCAGCAAGAATGTCTGTGCTCCCACAAGTTGGACCAGATCAGGGGACTGACCTGGCAAAACAAATGCCTCGCCAAATAAGCAAATGTAGGTATGAAGTGAGGAACATGTGGCTGGGGAATAGAACAGTTAAAGAAAGAATGGTTAAAACTAAACTACCTTTTTAATTCATGGGAAGTAAACTAACAGGAGAGAGAAAGCAGTAATTCTGCCTGTTGCTGATGTTATCCTTGAAGCAGCTCCACTTTCCAATCCTACCAAAGACAGAAACAATTTTAACATGCCCTGTGACGCAGGATAAAGAGAGGCACAGCACTTGCCACTACTCAGAAGAGCAGACAGATTACAGTCTCCCTAGCCCTGCTGCTAAATCTACATCTGACCCTTTCCTCCCTGCCCTAAGAAAGCACCACTACTTAAAGGTGTTCAGGAACCAACTGCTAAAGCTTTTTACCAGGTTCATCTTCACCTTTGTAACAGTTGTCCCTTAAAATATCTCCTGATAAATGACAATAACACTTTTTCACAAAACCAACAGTGCTAAAGCAATAAAGAACTTCAAGATTTGAAACACTCCAAGAAATGTACTTCTCTGTACTGAATCACTAACGTAAACACAAAAATTGAGAACTTAGCTAGAGTTAGTAGTTTTTATGTTACTTACTGTTTACAATGTACACCAAAGTCTTCTATTTTATTAAGCGGAATAGTCTGGTATTCAGAGGGACCTTCATCTGGAGGTTTATAGCCCTAAAAATTCAAAAAAGGGCAAAGATGACTCAGTAATTTTGGGATGTTTTAAAATGCCTAAACTCTTTGAAAGCATTTACAAAAATTCTAGTTTATGCAATTCTTGTTTATTTTTCCTAGGGAAAATGAAATTTCCCCCAGTAGCCTAAAATTTGGAATTTTCTTGGATCTCATTTACATTTGGCTTTACAAGCAATCATTACATTTGCAGGTCTATCAAAATGCACGCTGGAAGCAAACTAGTGGTCATAGTTGAGATTTTTCAAACAAGTAAGGTGGCAAGCTGTGATTAGATCATTTCTTAGATCAAAGAAAGAGTGAGCTTCTTCTAAGATAATAGTTCTCTACCTGTTTTTGGAAGTGATTTCAATCCTCTTTTGAGGGAAGACAGGAGGCATGAGAAGAGGGAAGAAACATCCATGCCTTGGATATGCCTTAGGGATACCTAAAACTTCAGTTATTTAGCCAAGATGGTGCCACTCACAGCTACTGAGTAGCCAAGAACCACCCGCAGACCACTGTGAGGACTTCCTAAAAATATGCTTCTAACGTGCATTTTCTGTATACAATTTGGTTTTCAGGTGCAGGATTCCTCTCCCTGCTCAAAATTCTGGAAGTATTTATAAAGTAGTTTTGCCTAGAGAAGTGAATATTCTCCGGAATCACAAACTGTTCTAAGATGATCTCTTGTGTATTTGTCATCACAAAAATAATGCATGAATGCAACTGGGAACCTCTCACAAACATTTTTGTTAATTACAGTTCTACTGGATGTCAGCCTAAAGTTCTTGCTCACTCAATAACTGGAAATTTGAAGGATATACCTGAACTTTATTAGACTGAAATTAAATAGCACAGTTATATCTCTGCTAGAAGTATAAACGAAAGACTGCATTTGGAGATCTAGATCTCCAGTATCTATGTGATTTCCCAGTTTTTAGCCTAACCTTTCCACGTTGTTCAATTAACTTGGTTTTTTGTACGTTATGGTGCAAAGATTCATAACATTTATTTGAAACAGTTAAGTAGATCGTTTTGAATCTTGCTTTTTTAAAATGAAAAGCAGATTACAACATATAAAACACGCTATTACCATTTGGTTTTAGGTCTAAAAAATGACAGAGAAGAATTAACATAAATCTATTTTGATGAATGCTACCCACAAAAATGGCTATATTGAGCTATATAATTTTAGGACAGCTCCACTATCTAGACAGTCTATTTGATTTAACACTGCCAAAAATCTATGAAAAAGAAAGTAGAAGTCACCCTTTGTAAATGTAATCAATATCCAAAGACATGCAATAAGCAGTATATCAGCACGTCTTTCTTTTAGAATGAACAATGACATACAGTACAGCACAGCAAATCGAACTGTCAGATGATCAAACCGTAGTAATCTTTAAAACCAATCTATTACTCATTCAAAGACAGTTTAGTGATTACACACTAGGTAATTTTCACTATTTACCTTAGGATAAGTCCTAAATGCTCCAAGATTTACTTTTCCTGCAGATATTGTTCTTGTTGGATCAATCTGTAGAAATACAGGTAATGCTTGTTATATGCATCTTATAAATTATTACAGGCATAAATTAACTTCACAGTAATTGTATTTCAGAAATGTAATTAGTGCAAATTGTGTTAGTTTTGTCATAAACAGTACTTTTTCAGTTGGCATCTGTTGGTATGAGAGACTCTAAAAAGATGGGAATACCAATACCCCTCTGTGGACCACTTTTTCAAACTCATTTTCCTTATTTCCCAAATACTCTAAAGAAATTGCACTTAAGAGCAAACAATAAACCATAATAATAAAAAAAAATCTGCATTTTAATCTCATAACCACTAGAGGTAAGAAACAGTATTACGTGATCTGCTGTATTTTGGTGGAAAATACAGGAAACCAATGAACAAATCTCTTTGCTAACATATTTACTAAAACCACGTTTAATATTAAAAGTAATTAAAAAAAAGAAAGAAAGAAAAAGAAAAACCAAACAAAAAAACAGTCCCAAGGAAAGTGTTCTTAATCTGTGAAATTATGTCATAACATAGAACTCACATGGTGGAAATACTTCTTAAGGGTGATTTATCTTTTTCTAATGTAATTCTTCCATCAGAGTTATATTCCTTCTTTCTGACTTATTTCAGTCTTTTTTCCTTTATTTCCTTCAGCAGCAATGCAATACAAGCAGTATCTAAAATAAGGTTTACTTTTGGTTTCAAATGTGATCTGTAGCCTGGCAGATGCTGAAGGGCTCAAAGAGTTTCTTCAGATTTTTTCTTCAAAGATAGATTTCCTAGTGTCTTCTACCTTGTACTATGCCACTGGTTTAATTTAAAAGGCATTTTAGATGCAAAGTAACAGAACCCTGTGAACATGCTTTGCTCTGTTTTGACAGAAGCAGCAAGGAAGAGAACAAAAGAAAAAGATTTTTGTTCTATTGCAGGAGTTGAGTATTGATTGCTCAATACATTTTTTTGCAAAAGTACCAAGTAGAACTTTAAGAGTAACGTATGGATTTGTACAGAGCTACCATACCTGCAACAGTGCAGTGAAAGTGGCCTTGGTAAGCAATACTACTGGTTTGACCAGTATACGGCCAGCAAAGCAAAAGGAGCGATACCAATTTAAAATTTAGATCTAACACTTCCATTGTGCAAAATACACACTACTAGAATGTCAACAGACAGAAATCTAAAAATTATACCCCCCCTCAACATAATTTGCTATGCAGTTTTATCAACTATCAGCCAGTACTTACAACCACTGCTACAAAGGGTTCTTGAAATTGCTGATTAAGCATCTGGGTACTGACGTCGATCCCGGAGAGCCAGCAGCCATAGCCAGGGTGACTGTGATACCAGCCAATTGCATTTTCTAGACGACCAACCTAACAGCAGCGACGGAAAACAAACCCAGGGTTAATCTCCATTCGCAAAGTGTCAGCTGCCCTCTATTGGGCCTTCCAGCATACTACAACACAGTGGGAGGATAAGGAATACACACACAGCCTTGCCATGCTAACTTACTAAAACTAAACTAAATACTAAACATACACCTTATTTTGCTAAACTATTTTCTAGAAACCATACAGTCTGTAGTATTAGCATTCTCTATTACAGCTACTACCACAGAACAAAAAACTTCAAGGAGACAGAAGCTACTTCTTCAAGGACAGCTGAAGTACAAAACAGGTTCCACATGGTGAGATGGTTAAGTAAGCTGGGACTCCACAGCGTGGAAGAGACATTTCTTAGGGTGGATATGACATAAGTATATATAACCTCATATAATGCATGGTATGTCAGCAGAGAATGAACGTTCATTGTTTAGTACAGTAGCACATCTCACAGGCATATAGAGAGATTATTGCTAGGTTTAAAAAATAACTTAAGAGAGGCATGTTTTCTAACACCAAAAATGACAGAAATTATTGCCAGGGCATGCCGTGAAAGCCAAAAGACGAATTTTTGAGATTTTTAAGGTCAAAAAACTCAAAATAGGAGTTTCCAAATAATACCCCCGGCTATCTCTACAAATACTGGAAGAAAAACAAACAAACAAAAACTCAGGAGAAAAAACACCCATTGCACCTGATTTTGTAATCCTCTCTCAGGAATTGCTTACTGGCTGTTCCGTACCGAGTTGAGTAATTTTGATATGACCCTATATGCCAGTTCTTAACTGAGAGTTGCGTGTTTGGATGCATCACCTGCTTAGTTTTGCCAAATACTGAATATGTCAGGGAGGTTAAATCAGAAAAATGTTAAAATGAACTGCCCACTAAATGGAACATGTATAATATTTTTGAATGGTGAATAACATAAATATTTTCTTTACATCTCTCATAATAGAGAAGGAGAGACCAACAAAACACTAAAGAACGTGTTAGTTTTCAAAGCCAAATAACACATTTTGACTGTATTAACACCAGATCCTGCCCATGGAGAAGCAAATAACTGGAACACTGGCATCTGTAAAGTACTTATGCAGGGGAATATATCAACTTGCAATCTAATATTAAAAAGAGTTATTCCAGGAACAACTGCTTGCCAAAATCAAATGTGGAACAGCCAGCATGCAAACTCTGCCAGAGCACCAGTAAAGCTGAGTTGTTTTATTTGCACACAGGTTCAATTTCAAAATTGTGAAGCCAAGTATAGATAAAACTGTACAATATAAACAACTAGAGAAAACATTTCCTATTATATGAGTACTCCTACAGAAACCTGAACTGTTTTAAACATAAGATGAACTAACTGTATACAAAAAATACTAATTTTAAGCTATATGCTTACTATTTTGAAACGCATTATTTCTACCTATGAACTGGATAGTATGAATATGTCTTTAAAGACATCTTTTCAAGTTACCTACTTTTCTGCAACAACAGTATTAGCATCATGACATTAATACTTTCCAGATAAAAGGAACTAGATTAAATAAATTATTTCTAAATTTTCTCATAAACAGGGATGAATTATTAAAAAAGTCCCAGAATATACCTACTTCTGGATTATATTTACTCTTTTCAGATGTTACGATCCAGCCTAATTCACATGTATTTAAATATCTCTAACTGTATATAAGGCTGTGAATGTAAGTACAACTCTCCAAAATAACCCAGATACTGCTCTGTTATCTCCACTGTATAAGTAAGGTGTCTCTAATTTCAGCTGGTGTAAAATCCTTCGAGGATTAAAGAAAAATCAAAGGGTAAACATTCAAAGCATAGGATTGCCCTGTATTGGAAGAAGCATGCCAGCAGGTGCTCTGATGTGCCGTGCTGGTTTCTACATCAGCCAAAGAGCGGATTCATATTTCTGTTATCCTTCTGCATGTGAGAATTTTACTACATAATCAGGCTTAATATGACATGGATCTCTGAATACAGGGTGACGAAGAAGGGGAACGGACATTTGAGTCAGTTCATCTAAATTTCCAAATTATAAATATGAATAATGAAGTTGTGCTGAAACTTACTTATGCCTTCATTGGCATTTTCTTCACAAATGTCTTTATTTTTATAGCAGCATGGCTATGCAGTCAGACATCAGAAAGCAAGAAGGTAAGAATAAATGTCATATTCCTGATCCACAACTAGTAAGTATCTCTGACACATATGTGTTTTATATTTAATTTTGCATACTGTTTTTAGAAACATGTATTATATCCATTATTTTAGAAACACACCCCCTCCTTGTTCCACCCGCAAGCCACCAGCTGCGGCCACAAAAACACTTCGAACTGAGCAATGAAAATCATCTATAAAGGAAAGGAGAATCCAGTACTTGATGACCTACTATTTACAAAGGAAAGGAAAATCCAGTACTTGATGACCTACTATTTACAAAGGAAAGGAGAATCCAGTACTTGATGACCTACTCTAAGACATGGAAATACATTTCTGCAAAAATGTTGAGAGGGATCAGTGTTCTTTACTGCTGACACAGTTCTCTTGGCCACGTTTGAGAAGGAACAGGGCAACTGGCCAGCCACTTTATCACCGCGGGAGGCGGGGAAGCCTGCAAACTCCACAACACGTTCCTGCGCGATGAGCTTACAAGATCCACAGCCGCACCACGGAGGGAGAGACACAGCCTCCGCCACCCCTCCTTACCTGCTTTGCGTTCTCAATGTACGCAGCCATGTACTCGTAGGCGGCCGCCTGAGCGTTGACGCGAGTCTCGGTGCCCTCCACCGGCAGGGCGAAGCTGTCCATGATGATCATGGTTTCCCCGTCCACCTTGCCCAGCATGAGCCCCATCACCTCCAGGTTGCCCCCTGACCGGGCGTGCATCACCATCTTCAGCAGCGCCAGCGCCGAGATCTTGCAGTACTTGAAGTAATGGTGGCTGCGGGAGAGGGGCGGCGGAAGCCATCAGGGACG